TATCCATGCTATGCTCTCTGCTGGCTGACTGAATGTAACAGGCAATGAAAAACCTAGAAGTATTTAATATGTAGAGTCACTTGGGGACACTTGAACAATTACATAGTACATAGTAAAGCAGAAAGATCTTTCATACCTTGTTAACCTCCATCTTTCAGGAAGATTTAGAATCTACCTTGGTGTAACATTTTAATGACCAGATAACCCCCAATATAAATATTTAAGGCCACAGAAGATGCTATTTCAAGAATTGGGTTTTCTTACCATCCATCAATATTCAAATTGCATAGGATTCTTTTCAAAACTTAGCATTTTAGTCATTATAAAATAATCATGACAAATAAAGTAATCTGGCTTTTTGCCATTCTGTTCGGGAACAAAATGAAATCTTTCCCTGAGGAAATTGGAACTATTAAGCCACTGGGGGTTCCTGCTTCTCTTGTCTTGATTGTTTCCTAGGCAGCATCTCTTCCCCTCGTTCCCCAAAGTTATCTGCACATTCCATCACAAAGAATCATTTAGTGTAGTAATCGAGGTGCTAGTCTAGAAACCAGATGACAGTGAGTTCTAGGCCCACATTAGGCAGGAAAGCTAGCTGGGTGACTTTGGGCTAATCACCAGGAGACGGTGAGTTCCAGCCTTGCCTTTGGCTGACTGGTTCTAGTCCTGCCTTAGGTATCAAAGCCAGCTGGAGGACTCTAGGCCAGTGGTTCTCAACCTTTTTAATGCCGTGACCCCCAACCGGTCGTAAGTCGAGGACTAAACCGGTCATAAGTCGAGGACTAATCCGGTCGTAAGTCGAGGACTAAACCAGTCGTAAGTCGAGGACTACCCAGCCAGTCGTAAGTCGAGGACTTTCCCTGCCCGGGAGCGCCGCGCATGCGTAGTTTCGCCCCCTGCGCCGGCTGAGGCGTAGCTGGCAAGCGGCAGAGACGGAGCAGGCCGACCACCAGCTGGCCCAGCTCAAGGGAGGTAAGGCACCCGCCGGAAAAGGGGAAAAAATGGCGGACAGCCTTGCTTGGCGACCCCCGTGAAATGGTCGATTGACCCCAAATGGGGTCGCGACCCATAGGTTGAGAACCGCTGCTCTCTAGGCCATTCACTGTCTCTCTCAGCCCACCCACCTCACAGGGTTTTTGTTGTGGGGAAAACAGGAGGAAGATGGAGTATTATGTATGCTCACTGCCTTGAGTTATATATATAAAAAAGGAAGGATAAAATAACAACAGCAGCAGCAATAGTATTCTGGAACAGCTGAAGCTTCCAAGTATTTTTCAAGGGCAGCCTCATGTAGAGAGAATTTTAGTAGTCCACATGTGAGGTAACTAAGGTAGGAGTGATTGTGGGAAGGGTCTTCTGATCTAGAAATGAGCACAATTGCCACACAGGTCAACGCCTTCTTGCCTTCAGCTTTCACTGGCTCTTCAACTAAGAGCTGAAAGTCTAGCAAGACCCCTAAATTGCACATTAGTTCCATATGGGAAAGTGCAACTCATTCAAATCTAGTCTCTGAATCAGAAAGGTCTATGCACCTCCCAGGGTTCTTTGAAGTTGAAGGTCTGATCACTTTAACAAGTTTCCCGAGAAAAGGAGATCGAGATGGGAGGAAAGTTGCCCCAGACTTGTGGGCCCAGGATTAGTCTCACTTTACAAAGGGCTGCTGCAGTAAGATGCAGTAACCGCAGAAAATAGGTATCTTTATCACCTCAGTATAATCACAGATGTAAACTCTTCTAATCACAAATGTAAACTCTGAATGAGTCTGCTCAATCAGACTTCATCTTTTTCCAATCACACTCTAGGAATCTCTTCTGTTAATTTATCTCCCAGAGCTTCTGGAGAGACCCAGAAGAGCCCTCAAGGCTGACAAATGGGAAAAAATGCATACAGGCAAGCTGATTTAATTCTGCATTACAAAAACACATTGAAACGATGTACAGGCACTGTCATTCCATCAGCCCTAGAGTTATAGCCAGTAATAAATTAGCTCTTAACTGTAGCATAAAACACAGTAGAGAAAAAGGAACCTATACAATACTGTGCCCAAATACTTTCCTAGGATATATAGAGCGGTCCTGAGAAAGGGATTCAAGACCTACACATGTGGAGAGATATTTTTAGGACCTTTAACAACAATCACAAAAAAATACAACAGGCTTTAGTAATATATTCCATAGGGCTGCAAGAGATATAACCTCCCAATTTAACAAAATGACTTTGGGAGTGTGCAAACATCAACTCAAGTACGAAAACAATACTTCTCTCCCTTTCTTTAAATAGCTTGGATTACTGAAATGCAGTCTTTCTGAAAAAGCAGAAGTCTGAGAGATGCCTTGTTGTTGTAAGTGGAAAACATTCCACAACAGAGTTAACTTCAGCATCCCAAGGAAAATTTCATCTGTTATGCAATGTAATGACAAGGACAATAGTGTCATCTAGTGGCTTTTCTCCACTATAATATTGTAAACATTTTACAAGACACCATTCCTGCTCATTCTTAGTCAGAGTATTTCCAGGCTATTAAGGACTTGATGTGGGACTATAAACACACAACCAATCCAACAGTTGAACAGTCCAAATATCCTAGTGGAATTCTTCCTCTATTACAACTGTCCTGACAGCAGATATTCCACTGGAAAGGTTGAAATAAAGCAGTCTCTGATATAGATTTGGTCATTTGGGAGAGGACAAGTGTAACAAGGTATATCCTTCCAGTCTACAGCTACAGTCACATCAATGGGGCAGCATTTTGTCATCCTATACCTCAGGGGTGTCAAACTGGCGGCCCATGGGCCGGATGCGTCATGCGTAGGCCACGCCCACCCCGGCTCCGCAAAGGCAAAAAACATGGTGATACGTCACGATACGTGATCGAGTTTGACAGTTGTGCAATACCTAGATCAATAAATAGCCTCTCCCCATCAATATCCTTATTTTGACTCACTTATTTTGGCCATGTCATATAGGGGAATTCACTGGAGAAAGCAATTCTGTTTGGAAGAGTTAGTGGTAAAAGAAAACCAGGCTTCCAAAGAACATGGTGGCTGGGCACTATCAAAGCTAACACCAGTCAGAGGACAGAAAAATTCAAACAAGCAATATAAGATCGGGAGATGTGGAGAGACCTGGCCCACAGAATCTCTAAGAGCCAGACACAAATGAATGGATAACATCATTATCACATTCCAGGAACAAGTCACATTCCAGTAATTCCACATAGAGAAATTATAATACAGTGGGTACACCTGCCTTTGTGCTTATGATATGTATGCCATCAAAGCTCACTGAGCTTACTACTCTACATATTATTAGTGTGTGGCATTCATTAGTAAACCAATGACTCTTTAATATATCTAGCAGATATATTTATTAAATGTACGTATATACATTGTATATACATATACAAGCAGATATATACATTTATATTAAATTGAATAATATAAATATATATTATTTATCTAAATATAAATAATACATATTTAGTCTGGTTTTTAAAATCTTTTTCTTTGTTTTCTGTTAGTTTCTTTTTTAAAAAAATAAGTTTATACATGGTCTTGTTTAATGGGGAGATATTAGTGTATTTAGGTATTTGTGTGGTATTTGCTTGTTCAGTTGCAGCAACATTATTTACAACTTCCTGAACTGTTTCCTGAAAGGGTGAGTTTCAAGGCCTTCAAAGTTTTCCAAACTAAAGCAGGTCTTAGATTAATGTTGTTTGCTCTCACCACAGGAGACCATTACCTTCTTATAGTCACACTGTGACCGTACACCTGCTCACCCCCTCATTGTAGACACATTTTTGTGGTTAGGAAAGAAGGCTTTCTTCAAATTGACTGGGCTTGGTAATGACCACAAGCAGAGAAAAGTTTGCTCAAGACTGCTTGGAAAATTCTATGGAGAAAAGTGCAGTATAAACCACTGTTGGATGGGTCACATTCAGAGATAATCATGCTATACTTGCTGCCTGACCCTGAAGAGATAAAATGTGATGTAATGGAACAGTAATAATCCATAATGGTAAGATTACAATCCTTTCTGCTTCTGTCTGCTTTTAGGATGTCTCACAATTTCTGACAGTTGAACATGAGGTCCTGGAACTCCAGAGTCTGCATAGGAAGGAGCTAAGATTTTACATGATTGACAACACATATCCTGAGAAATATAGTATCTGAATTTACAACTACAATTGAGCCCAGAATTTATGTTGCTAAGTGAAAAATTTGTTAAGTGTGTTATGCCCCATTTTATGACCTTTTGTGCCACATTTGTAAAGTGTATCACTGCAGCTGTTAAATTAGTAACATAGTTGTTAAGTGAATCTAGCTTCCCCATTGACTTTGCTTGTCAGAAAGTCTCAAAAAATGATCACATGACCCCAGGACACTGCAACTGTCATAAATATAAACTAGTTGTCAAGCATCTGAATGTAAATCGTGACCCTGAGGATGCTGCAATGGTTATAAGTGTGAAAAATGGTCATTGTCATTTTTTTCAGTGCCGTTGTAACTTCAAACCGCCACTAAAGGCTTCTCTCTTATAACATTTAGGATGAGGTGGATAGGGATCACACTCTGTAATATATCTATATTATAGAGTGTGATCCCTATCCATCTCATCCTAATTTTTATAAGAAAGAAGCCTTATCAGTCAAAGTTAATACAATGCCAAGTCACTTGTCTTAAACCAGAGAAATGAATGAATACAAAGAAGCATAAAATAATCCAGCCATAGGGTGGAGGACAAATCATGCTGAAGATAATCCCACTACATCCTACTAACCATTATGCAATGACACATGTAGGGGTTCATTTGTGTGTGTATGCATATACATTCAAACACAGATACATGCTATAGAGGAACATCCCAAAGCATACATTTTTTTTGCAGATGTGATTATAGGCAGTGTTAAGAAAAAAGAGCAATGTATGAAAATGAATGAAAATATCTAACTGCCTTCAGAAATGTCTGCATAAAACGACATACAGTAGTTAAGTTCTTACCATATCTGCCTGATGATATCTAACTTCAGGGCTGATCCATTCCTTGCTGATCCGTTTACGATAGGCATTGCACTTTGGAATATATGTACAGCCAACATCTCCCAGTTCTGGATAGAAAATTTCTAGACTCCCTCTGTCAGAAATCGAACATAAAAGTCAATTTCTAGGACCATGTTAATATCTTACCGCAAAAATATATTACAATTTTTGGCACTTTTTGAAGGATATTTATTCCTATGGTTTTTATATTTGCAATTTAATAATAATAATAGTAGTAGTAAAGTTGGAAGGGACCTTGGAGGTCATCTAGTCCAATTTCTATTTTTATATTTTCTGTTTTAATTATTATTATATGCACTGCCCAGACTTGCCTTCGGTAAGATGGGCAATTATATACATTTGATTAATAATTAAATCTGAAAATGTTACTGATGTTGTATAAAATATTTGCTTTATGGATGTCGTGGTCACGATGAATGGAAATTGGTATAAAATGCCTACACTTATAAAGGAATATGAGCTTACCTACAAAATGTTTTGTCCTCCCTGTCCAGTTTTCTAAAGATGCATTCTTCCATTTGGACAGTCTCTTGTAAGATAATTAAAAGAAAAGAAACTGCCAGAAAATAGGAAACCAGAGGCTTCATCTTGTCCTGCCAAAAACAAAATAGTGAAAAGTTAACAGATTTCCCCCAAACACAACTGTATTGCAAATCTTCCTATACTTTTGCAAATTATTTTAGGCAATTATTTCCAAATTCTATTGTTAAAGGAGCCCCTCATTTTTACAGATGGGAGCTAACAGCTGTCATATGATCTGCCCTCCAACATCTCTACCGGACTGTTTTGAAAGACAGCGGTGGGATAATGGCGAGGGAAATCTGGGTTCAAGTCCCTCATCATTTACCGGTTAATCCCCCTCAGCCTGATCCACCTCACAGGGTTGTTTTGGGGGGTAAGAAACTAAAGAGGTGCTGGAGCACCTGAATGAAAAGCTGGATACGAATGTAATAAATAAATACATAAATAAAGTAAACAAGGCCTCCTAAGATCATGTCTGCCTCTTCTCCCTCCCCTTCCCCCCCCCCAACCTCCGGTTTGCAATTTGACACCTAGTATTAAAAAAAGCTTTCAAAAACTCACTCGGGCACTTCATGTACCCAAAGTTAAAAGGCAAATGGTGTGCATTGGAAGGTTAAATATGTGGGCATTTCAAAGGGTGGAACGTTTTGTTCTCCCCTCACAAGAGAAACATTTTGCTCAGAATATTATCTGGGAGATAATTTCATTTTCAATGGAGGTCAGCTGAAAAAAAAAAGAGGATTGTTTTCCACCCTCCCTGAAGAAAAGCCATTCTGCTCTGAGTAGGGTTGCCAGGTCTGCTTCCAAAAAATAGCAGACAAGCGGGGGGGGGGGGGGGGTTAAGTAGTAAAAAAAAGTAGACTGTACAGCTTTAGATTACGTACCATTTCATCATAAAGCTTTTGAATAAAAAAAATGTCCACTATTTTGTGAAAAAAAATAGTGAACATAATGTGAAAAAAGTGGACTGTCCACTCAAATAGTGGATACCTGGCAACCCTGAGCAAAGATGGTGGCAAACACATAATTTCCCTCCTTTTCTCCTCAGAATTCTCCCCTCATCTTCGCCTCATCATGGAGGGTCTTCCTCTTGCTTGCTCAGCTCAGCAGCGTCCACAGGTGTGATCGGGGGAAAAAAAAATCAAGATAACAGCTGTGATGTGCAATGCAGCTCCATTTTGATTTTTTTATTAACCAGACTTCCAAACAAATTTAATAAATATCCTGCCCTTTCCAAAATAACAGCCAGAGGTGCCATGGCCTTTAAATGCTGTTGTTTCCTTTTGTTTATGTTACTCAGTTTCTCTTAATCTGTGGTTAGATCTAGAAACTTGTATCGATATGTCTTCTTTGTGTTACAGGATGTGATGTTTCCAATTTCAGATTGTTTTGGAGTAATGGACTAAAAGAGCCACAAAGGTTTTGCTGTGTACATACCAAAAAGGATTTGAACTTTGCAGTTGGTATTGGGCGGAAAGCTGGAGGCTGAGAGTTCAAGTCCCATCTTAGCCATGAAAGCCAGCTGAGTGACTTTGAGTTAGTCACTCTCTCTCTCAGCCCAACTTGCCTCACAGGATTTATTTTATTTTATTTTATTATTTAGCCTCCCATCTCGCTACAAGTCAATTCTGACAATATCTTATTTCAAAAATTGCAGCCAAATATAACAGCCACGGCAATTTGAAGGAGGGGAGCAGTGTTCTTTGAATACAGCAAATGAAAAGAATAATAAAAAATAATAAAATAATAAAAATATTTTACATAATAAAAATAATAAAAATATAAAATAACAAAAATAAAGCTAATGAAAAGTAGGGCTAGGAGTGACATGATAGCACTTTTCCAATATTTGAGGGGCTCCTATCAAGATGAGGAGCGAAACTATGTTCCAAAGCACCAAAAGGCAAGACAAGAAACCACGGTTGAAACACGGGAGAGAAGAAATTTAAAACTAAGGAGAAATTTCCTAACAGTAAGAACAATGAACCAGTGGAATGGTTGCCTTCAGAAGCTGTGAACGCTCCAACACTGGAAGTTTTTAAGAAGAGACTGGACAACCATTTGTCTGAAATGGTATAGGGCAGGGGTGGGACACCTTGGCTCTTTTATGACTCGTGGACTTCAACTCCCAGAGTTCCTGAGCCGGCATGGCTCAGCTTGGAAACCTCTCCCTTTCCCCTCAGCATGGCTGGCTCAGGAACTCTGGGAGTTGAAGTCCACGAGTCATAAAAGAGCCAAGGTTCCCCACCCCTGGTATAGAGTCTCCTGTTCTAGCAGGCAGTTGGATTAGAAGATCTCTGAGGTGCCTTCCAACTCTATTGTCCTATGTTCTATCTTCTTACTGCCACTAACTGACATGTTGGCACCAATTCTTAATTCTTAGAGAACCAGATTAGTCTACTGGTTAAGACACCAGCCTAAAAAGCAGCCTTGCCTTAGCCACAACAGCCAACGGGGTGACTTTGTGCCAGTCACTCTCTCTCAGCCCAGCCCACCTCACAAGGTCGTTTTGTTGTGGGGAAATTAGAGGAGGATGTGTTGGACATGTTTGACCCCTTGAATTATTGGTAAAAATAATAAACGTGGGATCCAAATAAACACACTGGCCCATCAATAATTCTATCACTAGTTTGAGTCATGCACAGAGGAAATGGGTGTCACTTCTGGATGGAAGTGCACAGGGCCGGATTATCAGAATAGCTTCTGGGCGAAATGGGCATATACATTTAATAAATCAGTAAGATTACTAATCCTGCCTCCAGAAGCGGTGAATGCCCCAACACTGGAAGTTTTAAAGAAGAGACTGGACAGCCATTTGTCTGAAATGGTATAGGGTTTCCTGCCTGAGCAGGGGTTGGACTAGATGACCTCCAAGGTCCCTTCCAACATTAATAATAATAATAATAATAATAATAATAATAATAATAATAATAATAATAATAATAATAATAATAATAATAATAATAATAAAGTTGGAAGGGACCTTGGAGGTCATCGAGTCCAACCCCCTGCCCAGGCAGGAACCCTACACCATTTCAGACAAACGGCTGTCCAGTCTCTTCTTAAAAACTTATTATTATTGTCTTCCACTCACTGAATGCACCTGGAGCCTTCTTCCAGTTGGCCCCATGATAGCATATTAGGACAAAACAGGTAGAACTTTTTTTTCCCGCCAACAGCAGTAGGATTTATATTTTCTGCTTCCTAATGGGCGTGGAAGAACTGCAGGCTTAAATCCCCGTTCCCTATGCCCTACTAAAGCAAACAGACTTGACTTCGGATAAACTTAAAAGAGGGCGCTAGCGTGGGAAAATCCCCCGTTACCTACGTGCGAAGAGTCAAAGTCAAAATCCCAAGTTCAGGGCAAGTTTTCCCCGCTACGAGCCAGCGAAGAATGCCCGCCGCTGCGCAGCTGCCCCTCAATTAGCCCACCGGGCCGTAAAATCACCTGACGGACAGGTGGCAGGTGCAAAGGAGAGGCGGGGACAATCATAATGCAAGGCGGCGGCTGATTGGGCCTTGTGGCCGTTGGCGAGAAGTTCTGATCTTTCCTCCGGCCCCCGCCGGACCAGCAAACCGGACGTGGAAGGCCGGGCTTGTTTGATGTGGAGCCGAGTCTTTAGGCTGCAATTCCAGCTGCATGCAGCTGGAAAACGGTGGGAAAAGGAGGTGGGATTTTAAGAAAAGCGTTGGGTCATCTCCATTAGATGCCGGTCAAGAGACGGTTAAAGCTTATTTTCCAGCCGGGTTGGGCGTAGGCTAGACGTCGTAGCTGATTGCATTTTTATTTTTTATTAAAAGTTCTGCACCGCCCATCTCACTTAAGCACAGGAACTCTGGGGCCGTTCACAATAACGTGCCTACACTTGCTGTTTTCCATCTAAATTGAACTCCGATTCAAAGAGCCATTTATTTAATGAATAACCGATAGGGATGAAGAAAGGAGCAAGCTGTACCGAAAACTGCTTGAGCAGATAATTTAAACAGCTTCCTGTATTGCTGCTTCCACTATATACCATAGGATACTTTATCGAAAATGACAAGGACCTTTATTTCAAAGAGCCGGAAATAGGTAGTTAACAGATCCCAAAAAATTGAAACTGTAAACAGCAGGGAATTGTTATTTGTTATACTTATATCGACATATATTTTACCATCAAGGCTGCAATTCATCAGGGAAGCACCAAAGGGCAATATTTGGATATTCAGTACTTTGCCCTATTTTCCTGAGGACATGATACTTTAATGAGCAGTATATATTAAATGCATTGGCCTAAAGAAGCAGTATAACATATCAGTAGTAGTACATGGTCCTGTTTTTCCTAAAGAAAGATTTGATGTAGTGGTTAAAGCACCAGGCTGGAAACCAGGACACTGTGAGCTCAGTCTTGGAAGGAAACAAGGCACTAGTCCAGAAGGCAACGACTCAACAGTACAAACAAGAAAATATCCAGGCCACAAAATGGTATTATGTCCTATTAATTCCATTATATTGCCTATTTCATCCAAAGCATACAATACCTCATTCAGCCACGGGGGGCACTATTTATTTTTCATTACATTACACTACTTATTCTATATAGGCCTAATTAATGGAACCGATAACGAAATTCTGGCCCATGAAATATTTCAGCACAACACTGTCTTCTGTGAATTTTGGAATCTCAAGGTCAACTATGTAGAACAATATGATCACTTGAGTTTAACGGAAGTAAACCCAAAGGATCTTCAAACTGGAATTTATGCCATTTAAGTCTTGCATTGACTCCCACTAGCAGTTTTGAACTGGGAGATGATGCTATTTGTAGATTCACTCCTATTGTTTCTGAGTTACATCCAAAAGTTATACACAACCACATTGCCCAAATAGGAAAATACTGCATGTTAAAACCTCTTGAATAGATGTTTCCGCTCAGTTCATTCATGCATTTCTTACAGCTGCTTTCCTGAGCCTGATGCTTAGGTTTGTGTTAAATTATTTTTCCCCCCTCTTCTCCATGAACATTTCAGCAACCCCCATCATCCCCTGACCTGCCTCCCTCTTGTACATTCTCTGGGTACAACACAATGGACTTGTGGAAGATGGGGGAAACTGCAGGATAGAATCAAGATCACGTGAAGTATTAATACCACTTTACAATGCCTTGGTAAGGCCACACTTGGAATACTGCATCCAGTTTTGGTCACCAGGATGTAAAAAAGATGTTGAGACTCTTAGAAAGAGTGCAGAGAAGAGCAACAAAGATGATCAAGGGACTGGAGGCTAAAACATATAAGAAACAGTTGCTGGAATTGGGTATGTCTAGTTTAGTGAAGAGAAGGACGAGGGGGGACATGATAGCAGCGTTCCAATATCTCAGGGGCTGCCCCAAAGAAGAGGGAATCAAGCTATTTTCCAAAGCGCCTGAAGGCAGGACAAGAAGCAACGGGTGGAAACTAACCAAGGAGAGAAGCAACCTAGAACTAAGGAGAAACTTCCTGACGGTTAGAACAATTAACCAGTGGAACAACCAGAAGCAGTGAATGCGCCAACACTGGAAGTTTTTAAGAAGAAACTGGACAGCCAGTCCGAAATGGTATAGGGTTTCCTGCCTGAGCAGGGGGTTGGACTAGATGACCTCCAAGGTCCCTTCCAACTTTATCATTATTATTATTATATCTGCCAAGAGACTGAGGGAGTGTAGTGTGTGATACAATTGTGCATAACTTAGCATTCATCTGCAATTTTGTCACCAAGGTCCCTGATGCTTCCTGCCGATTTTCTTTAATGCTGCAATGAAAGCACTAAAAATTCATTTTTTTAAGGAGCTACAGGGGGAGACACGCCTCTTTCCCTCAAACCCTCCTTCCCCCAAATTAAAAAAAACCTCAACAGCTTCAGACTGGCCTGTCCGGTGACCTTCCTGCCATGATTGGCAAAAAATGTTCTCCCAGACAATAAAATTGCCCACTCTTTGCTGTACAATGACATATTTTCATTCCATTGCTTGAACCTGGCCCTTCCAGAACAGGCCTACTGCCACCTGCTAGACAGGTAAATGATATGCCCTTTGAGCAGCCCAATTGTTGAATTACAGCATTTCACTTCCCAAATCTTTTCTCCAATGCTTTTCTCCTTCTTTGGTGTGGATAGGACCCCATTTTCCAGGGATGGGATTGTACACCATTGTTTCAGCAGCACTAACAGTCATTCAGGCATCTGAGGCTGGAATCAAACCGGCTGAATTGAATTTCCAAGGTTAGACACGAGGGATCGTCGAGCACGGGCTCTCCAGGCACAGAGATCCGTCTTACGATTGGTATCTTGGCAAAACGGCCTCGGTAAATCCACCTGATCTAAATGAGCTGAACTGCCCCAGAGGCCACCAAGGGAGCAATTGTCTTGTAGCGGATCAAATGTTGGGAGTTTTCATCCAAGTCAATCACGTAGTCTCTGAAAAGAGACAAAAGGACAGTAAAAATAGACTGTTCTTGTCATTCTATACACACTTATTCGTTCGACTTATCTCTCAGCTTTCTCCCAGCTCAGTTTCTACAAATAATACATTTTTCTTTCCATTTTTTCTTCCTGCTACAATAGCGTTGATTTGGGGGGAGGGGGAACAGCAATTATCTCCCTGGGATCTTTGGGGGGTTAAATAAGCCCATCTAAATGTCATGGAGAAAAAGCAACTTTAACACACAAAGAATTAATTTAGGGTTTCCGTTTTTCCTCCTTTTTTTATGCCGGGCAGCCTTTTGGAAGCGAGAACTGTTCAAGGGCAGAGCTAGAAGAAAAGCTCAATGTTATAAATGTAGCTTTAATGCGTTTCAAATGAAATTAAATCCAGCACTATTGTTAACAGGAGGCGAACCTTTTCTGCCGTGGTACCTGCCCTTTGGAAGATCATTTTCCCCCACCCCAAGTAAGATTGGCCTCAACGCTATTGATCTGCCAGAAAACCCTGTCAGCAAACTTGGGGATCCCATGAAAATAAGGAGCCCCCAGATGGCTATTGATTGTAAGTAGGATTTTGAATGAGTCTATTTGTTTACAGTTTTTAACTTATTTTAATGTTTTCAATAGGTCTGTTTTAATCTTATCTGAATTGTGTGTGCTAGCCAGAGTCACGTGCATGAGTAGCGACATGGAATTTAATAAAATAAAAGCAATAATTTAATGATTTTTATCCCACTCCTTTTCACATCCTTAATATTCCCCCTCTCTTATTAAAAGTGAAAGGGGAGATCTGGCAGCAGTTCCAGGCCCCCCGTCTAAACTTTGGAGAGAGGTTTTCTGTGGATCAAGGTGGAGTCAGAGGTTGCCCCGATCTTTCCTCTGGCTGACTGACCTTTTGCAAACAGTAAGACTGAATCCATCTACACCAAACATTATAATGAAAGTCTGGGATCCCTTTTTTTATAACTGCCTTCATTCATGAGATCCCTTTGCTTGAATATGCATTGGAACATCTAACTTGCACCAAAAATGGGAAATTTCGACGATCGGACGAGCATCTTTCAGGAGTACCAAATATGTGAGGGCTAAGAGGAAAGAGGGGTAGAGAGAAAAACTGTTCTGGTGTCTTAAAAATCTTGTTGACCAATCAAAAACCCAGTAGGCCCAGCCGATGCCATTTTCTAGCTATTATCTTTTCTCTTTATTGCCAACAGAATTTCCAACCTCTGCTCATCATGCTCCGGATCCACCATTATATTTTCCTGTCTCTCCTTCACTCTCAAGAAGACGAAGGCATCCAGGTTGGGCTTGGGAACTGCCAAGAAAGATCAGAGAGGATTAAGAAAAAAGTTCTCCTCAGCAGCATTTAGAAAGATCTCATACCATAATATATGACAACACTAAAGTCTGCTAAGCAACATTTCTTCAGCCACCATGTTTGTGCAGGCGTATTGTTTTAGAACAGAAACTTGTGTATATTTATCGTGGTTTTTATTATCGCCTGTTCACCGCCCTGAGTCCCATAGGGGAGATAGGGTGGTATATAAATTCAATTAATAATAATAATAATAATAATAATAATAATAATAATAATAATAATAATAATAATAATAATAATAATAATAATAATAATAATAATAATAATTGTTATTATCAGCAGCAGAGAGGATGTTTTCCAAGGCCTGCTTCTCCCCGTGTTTGGCCCAAAGGTCCAGCCCCCCCATCTCTTTCAGGGTTGTCATCTACAGCTCTCTAGCTGCTCATGGGCCTAAGGGGTGGGCCTTGACTGAAGGTAAACTGCCCTTTCTGCGTTCTTCCTTACCGGCCTTGAGGAACTCAACTTTCTGAAGGTTTGGGGGCATATGTCTCAGTGCAATGTTCTTGAGATGATTCTCTGTGTTTGCCATGTACCTGAAAAGAAGAAATTGTTTCATTGTAAAAAAAAAAAAAAAAGGAAGGATGAGGCTTCCTATTTCACTTAGCTATGCAGACTGACAAAATGGACCTAGGTATTTGCAAGACCGCCTCCTACCAAACACCTCCCTTCGACCAGTCCGCTCCCACAGAGAGGGCCTCCTTAGAGTGCCGTCGGCCAGACAATGCCGGCTGGCGACCCCCAGGGGGAGAGCCTTCTCTGTGGCAGCTCCTGCCCTCTGGAATGACCTACCCCACGACCTACGTACAGTTGTGGACCTGCACCTTTTTCGCCGAGCCCTGAAGGCCCATCTATTCCGTGCGGCCGGCCTGGCGTAGTTTGATTATGTTTTAGTGGGGGTTTTGTATGGGGTACTTTTAGAGCAGGCCTGTTATTTAATTTGATTTTAGAACAGAAACTTGCGTATATTTATCGTGGTTTTTATTATTGCCTGTTCACCGCCCTGAGTCCCGTAAGGGAGATAGGGCGGTATATAAATTCAATAAATAATAATAATAATAATAATAATAATAATAATAATAATAATAATAATAATAATAATAATAATAATAATAATAATAATAATAAAAATGCAATTACAATTAAAGAAACAGAATACTGGAGGCAAGTGTTCGCTCCTCTGTGCCCTAACTACCATTCCCCCCCCCACCCGCCCTGAGGGCCACGTAGAATGATTGTTCCTACAACTATCAACTTCTACTTTGAAGTTTCTTTGTTGTACAAACTATAAAAGTAAATTTAAGCCTTTGTTCTGGGGTCCTTTCTCTAAAGCGGGGGTCCCCAATCTTTTGGGCACCAGGGACCGTTTCCGTGGAGAGACGTTTTTCCGCGGACCGGAGGGGGCGTGGTTTTGTATGCTGCCTGCATCCCGCGGATGGGGCTTTGCTTGTTTGTGCGGACTGGTTGCTGGCATGCCGTGGTCCGGTACCGGTCCACAGGCCAGGGGTTGGGAACCCCTGCTCTAAAGGGAATCCTTTTTAATTGAAACATTTCAAATAAATAATAAATTAAATGGCCTTCCTTGTTTTGGTTGCCCAATTGGGGTCCAGCATACTGAGGCACGTACCTAGAACACATATTTGGTCTCTCTCCCCACCCCCCCAACTCTTTACTCACTCTTTGGCAAAGGCAAACTCTTCTGGGGACAGGATGGATGGATCTCCTTCTGCCCGAGTCTTTTCCTTCTCTAGGACATGGGGGAAATATTTCTCAATCTTTCAAAGGAAATAAACAACAAAGGTAAGAATAGACAGTCACTTCTGCATCTCTTGTTCCTCTGTCATTATTGATTTCCTTGGCTAATGTCCCTTTGCTCCAAATCTTTGGGTTCAAGGAATCTACCACTTGCAAGGCTATCCCTGAATATGTAGTTAGTACAAGGAAGAGTCATAGAAAACAGCCACCACCAAGAATTGAATTGAGAGTCAATTTGGCGTAGTAGTTTAAGGAGCTGGTCTTATGCTGGCTAGGGAATTCTAGGAGCTGAAGTTCACAACTTGCCAAGATTAGACAGCCCCACTGTAGTCCATTTGGACTTCCTACATTGATCCATCTCTTCTAGCCTCCCAGACTAGAGTTGGGTTCACTTGCCTAAACCAACTGGTTTAGGCATACAGTAGCCCGCATTCACCTAGTTTACTGTGACCAAATTAACCATATCCTGGCTTTATACACTGGCACAACAAATGTTAGGACTCGGATTACTTCAACTCAGTTTGTTGCGTGAATCTAGTCCAGGTCAGATTCCTTTGAAAAAAAATCATCAATTATTACTAGACAATTTAGCAACCTGCAAAATGAAATCCACCAGTTGCATTGATGCAACTATCCTGAGATGTTTAATAGGGACTGAAATGCTAGGAAAAAAACGATGAGCATTTGGCTGCTACCTTAAAAACAGGCCAAGAGCAATTCTAAATGCTTCTGCTATTCACCAGCTCCCTGGGGTGTTTAATTAAGCCCTAGTTGGGTCATTACCTTGCGAAGTCGGCAGCGCAAGTAACTGCTAAGAACATAACGGATTCTTTCCACTTCCATGCGATGAATACTAATTTTTAAGTCCCCTTGTTTGGCTCGTTTCAAATTCTCTTCCTATGGAACAAATAACAACAATAAAAAAAACCATTGCAGTTTTTCAATAGACCAGGGATTCTCAAATTTTATTACCAAGACCTTTGAAAATGATTGGATTGGATTTGCTCCCTTTGAAACAAATTTACTACAAGTAGTCCCCAACTTATGACAATTGAGCCCCAAATTATTGTTGTTGAGTTTTCCCCATTTTATGACCTTTTTCTGCAGTAAATCGTTGTAGTTGTTAAGTTAGTGACTCTGTCTTCCTCACTGACTTTGGAAGGGGTGATCACATCATCCCAAGGACACTGCAATCACTATAAATATGAACCGGTTGCCAAGCATCTGGATTTTGATCACCTGTCCCTGTGGCTGCCACAAGAGTGTGAAAAGCAGTCATAAGCCACTGTTTCAGTACTGTTGTAGCTTGGAAAGGCCATTCAATGAATGGTTGTAAGTCAAGGACTACCTGTACTCACTAAAAGATACGCAACTTTCATCCTACTCTTAACCCACCCCACCCGCTTGATCACTTGCCACTCCTTCGCCCTACAGTAGGTCAGCAAACAGGAGTAGCAGCTAATCCCAAGAGTAGCAAAGTCAAGAGTTCAGACCCAACTGGAAAAAGGAGATCTTTGAAGCTCCTAATTCTCAGTGCTGTGAGGCAAGACGGCCTGTTAAGGCATACCAGCAGACGCTCTGCAACAGAAGTGAATGCCAAAAGCAGCATCACTCCAATGTGATGCAAGGTCCACCTCCATTGTGTATGTTTTGTGACATTACAAGAACCAAAAGAGCAGAGGTTGCACTGTACTGGTGTGACATTATCCTTACGGAGAATTTTTCCAAAAGAGGGTTATTGGCTGGAACAGGAGTGGCCCCTGGACGCCCTCCCGAACCAAGATCAGTTGTGTTGTGTTTACCTCTTCTGATGTCTTACCATGTGTTCAAGTTGCTCCATGACACAATCAACAATTTCTGTTTTGCTTTCTAGCAGTTCGGGGGCAAACTTCTCATTCATCCAAGCCTGAGAATAACAGAAGATGGGCGTCATGGTTACCATCTGAAAACATTTTCCTGGTCCTCACAATGCTCTGAATGTTATGTTCCCAGCTCTCCAATGCTTTTGTTACGGTCCTAGGTTGGTCCCTTCTTCTCAATGGCTGATCAATAGCTCCCATCCTCTCTGACTACTATATTCTGAATGGAAGAGGGCTTGTAAAGTAACCCTCTAGACGCCTCCAAGCACACCACAGCCTCCTGTCCATCACTGTCTCCCGGAGTCTACCCAAACTCATGCCAACTGTGTCGATGACACTATATTAATACCACTTTACAAGGCCTTGGTAAGGCCACACTTGGAATCCTGCATCCAGTTTTGGTCACCACGATCTAAAAAAGATGTTAAGACTCTAGAAAGAGTGCAGAGAAGAGCAACAAAGGTGATCAGGGGACTGGAGGCTAAAACATATGAGGAATGGCTGCTGGAATTGGGTATGTCTAGTTTAACGAAGAGAAGGACGAGGGGGGACATGATAGCAGCCTTCCAATATCTCAGGGGCTGCCCCAAAGAAGAGGGAGTCAAGCTATTCTCCAAAGCACCGGAAGGCAGGATGGAAACTAATCCAGGAGAGAAACAACCTAGAACTAAAGAGAAACTTCCTGAAAGTGAGAACAATTAACCAGTGGAACTACCTGCCTCCAGAAGCGCTGAATGCTCCAACACTGGAAGTTTTTAAGAAGAGACTGGACAGCCATTTGTCCGAAATGGTGTAGGGTTTCCTGCCTGAGCAGGGGGTTGGACTCGATGACCTCCAAGGTCCCTTCCAACTTTATTATTATGATTAAGGGGGGAAAAATTGGGAGCGCCATCCAAAACCGCGGCTTCTTGAACGGCCGCTTGTAAACGCAAACCGGACAGCTCGGGCTGCCACCAACCGGCTCAGCCCGGGCCAGTTGCGTGCCAGCTGCATTCCCACGGCTTAGGGATTTCACACGACCTTCACACAACTGGCAAGCTTTCCCTTCTTCCCGCGTCTTGCACTCAGCCGGGCGCGCGCTGCTAAAACCGGCCGGCCGCCTTCGAGGGGAAACGAGCCGGGTTGAAACCCGAGCCGCGCCGGACGGACCCCGGGCTCGTCTGAAAAGGAACGGAGGGGTCCCGAAGACCTTCCGGGGGCGGGGGGGGCCTCACCTCCTCCAAGCTGCAGATCAGCTGGGCCGGCGTGAGCACCACCTCGTCGCTGCCCGCATCCGAATCCGGCTCCGCCATTCCCACGGGCGCGCCGGGCTCCCGCGTTTCCCGCCACCGCTCGCTGACGTCAGAGCCTCGCTCCAAGAGGCGGGATCCCCCGGCCCCCACCGGGCGGGGAAATCCCCTTGGCCCCGCCCCTTTTTTCCTCTTAAAGGAACCGCCGGCGGGACACGCGCTCGACTTCGTAACGTGGGAGCGGGGAGAGGCTCCCGTCGACCGGCCGGGGCCTTGGGCGTTTTGCCTGGTGTGTCTCGCCCGCGAGGCGGCTGCGGGAGCCCAGCTTGGGCGCCCCCGAGACGTGGTTGTGATCTACGAAGCGGAATAACGGAGTTAGAGGGGACTTTAGAGGTCTTCTAGTCCAGCTCCGTAGTCAAGAAGCAGCAGTCCCAACCCAGCCTTATTGTAACTCCCTGTAAGGTCCCTGGCCCTTCCTTGAATTTGAGATACCGTTATCAATCTAATCAGATAATCCAGGGGTCTTCCAATTTGGCCCTTTGATGACTTGTGGACTTCAACTACCAGAATCCCTCAGCCAGCTTGCCTGGCTGAGGGATTCTGGGAGTTGAACTCCACAAGTCATCCAAAGGCCAAGTTTGAAGACCCCTGTCTTAAAGTAAGGGAAGAAGTCCTTGGGTTCTCACATATGAATCATGAACACACAATGAACTTATTGGTATCACTGTTATGATTATTATGACTCTAGTTTTTCATGTATCCCGAGGTCTTCTTCATCCGAGACAATTTTTTTGTGTGTCTAATCTAAAAAAGCCATACTTTCTCTCCTTCCTCCTGCCCATGTGGAACGACTTTCCACAAGATAGGGTGTGTGTGTGTGTGTGCCAATTATTTGTACAAGCTAGTATGACATGAAATGGATCATCCTATTTGTATGTAACTAAGGCTGTCATTAAAATACTAATGCTCAAGATGTCATTTAAGAGTTATTGCACAATGATGACTATGTGCACTGCCATCTTCAGATGACTAGCGTAAACCCTGCTTTGCTTTACTATCAGAATTAAAGACCTTTAATTTCACTGTTACGAAACAAAAACGGCCCGTGTTTTTACACCAGTGCTAGCAAATGACAATTTATTTAAGAAAAAAGGTTACTAAGCCATTATTTCCCAAAGTCAATTGTAACGGGTGCAAAAGGCAAAATACTGTTACAGATTAGAAAAAACAACTCACAAGTATCTATATATTTCAAATATTAAACTTTTAGACAGGATAAAGAAAACCATGAAGAAAGGGGATTTAAGAATGATACACCTGAAAACCTTGATCCGCTATTTGGCGCCTCTCCTATTGCTCGAAGGAAAAAAAAACCCACCTGTGCCACCCATTTTAAAACTGGTCCTGTTTGGCAAATTCCTTAATACCTTGTCACGAGAGATAGCAACTTCCACAGAGAATTACTTTGCCGTTTTAGAGTCAAAGAGATACACAGAGTAAAACCCACATTGGACAGAGAAGAGGGAATGGAACAAAGGATATTGGATTTTTTTTGAGACGGGGGGGTAAAATGTTCCAGATATTTTTGCAAGCATCACGCTGGAATGTCGAGCACAAGTAGAAGTACTGCAGAGACGACGTCTGTGAAAGGAAAAAGCTGACAGACTGAACACCATTTCTAGCTGGCCCTAAACCTGCCTGCCCTAAACTAAAACATCTATTAAAAAAACCCCAAAACCATATTCATTACCTACATTTACAGATTCAACACTTAAGGGTGGAGAGGAGCCGAGAAGTGACACTTCTGCTAACACGACGTATTTGGGGCTGCTGCGTTTTCCTCATGTTTTAACACACGGCTCACGGCTTCTTCTCGTGAATTGTACATTTGAGAACAAGAGGCTCCAAAACACGTCAGCAGTAAAAAATAAAAACGCTTTGCGGTTTCTTAATGGAGTCAGTCGAGAAGATGGGGGCTTGGGTCCCTTTTTGACCAATCAGCAGATTGTACTTCATCAAGAGAGGCTTCATTTTCCAAGATGCAACACAGTGTTGCTTTCTTTTTCCAGAAGCTGACAGAAGCCCAAAGTCCACCGAGAGAGTTCCCACCGCCTTGAGGTCATTCCCGGTTGGCCTTCTGCCTGAGGGAACGCGGCAGCTTCAGGCCCAACAAAGCAAGACAGGTGCTGCCCACCTGGGCTGGGTTTCCCCCCACGAAAGAACGGGAGTCTGAAAAGTGAGTCCTTGTGTAAATGGCACTGTGGAGTTCACGGAAGCAGAGGGAAGGGTGCTAAGACAGAAGGAAGGAAACAAGCGGAAACCATGTTCGCTGGTCCCTGGAGAGGAAACAAAGCGTCATTAACAAAATTTAAAGCACAACATGGCTGCTTTCAGGACTTTACGTCATCCTTTTGGGACTGTTGGAAGGTAGTAGTAGTAATGCAAGGCCGTAATGCAGCTTTGCCCCTTGTTAAATGGAATAAAACCAACAAAGAGTGATTTGAAATTCTGAGTGCCCTCACACGGGATTCTCTTAGAAAAGAGGGAGTGAGCATTTATCACATTGCTATCAATGTTGTCACTTTTTCCTGTTTTATCTTTTGGGGAACAAATGGATGATTTAGGGCAGGGATGCCCAACCGTGGCAATTTTTAAGACCTGTGGACTTCAACTCCCAGAATTCCTCAGCCAGGCACGCTGGCTGAGGAATTCTGGGAGTTGGAGTCCACGAGTCATAGAAGGAAAGGGCCGAGTTTGAAGAGCCCTGCATTAAAAGCTAACCCTGACACCTAAAGTGATGCTTTTCCTCAAACATTCATTTTACAAGGTATATTGCCCCCAGGTAAATTGTCTCTTCCAGGAGAAAATGAAAAGACAGTAATTAAGAAAGCCAAGGTTTAAAAGGCAACATAAAACGTTAAAAAAGTCTTCTTCAAAGCTTCTATCTTTAGGCCAGTGTTTCTCAACCTTGACAATTTTAAGGCATGTGGACTTCAACTCCCAGAATTCCACAGCCAGCATTGCTGGCTGTGGAATTCTGGGAGTTGAAGTCCACATGCCTTAAAATTGTCAAGGTTGAGAAACACTGCTTTAGGCGCTCGTTTGGAGAGAAAGCATCCAGAAAAAGCTAATGGCAGAATAGCATCTTCTCTCCTCTTCTACTGCCCCACACTTGTCAGTGGTTCACAGAATTGTAGCGTAGCAAACGTTAGGGATAACTACTACTGGAGTGGAAGCAGTAGACCATTATCGTTCTGGAATTTCCAGGTTATTAGTGGCCTAAAACACACTGACAAATCTTCAACCAGCACAGTAGATGAAAAATAGGATGGCTTCCAATAAAAAGGGCAGAGGCTTGTGCTAGCTCAACCACCAAGAGTTAGACTGTAAAAAACACCAGCACGACAACATCTTTAAATGGGCCCTCTTCAACCATAGGAGTGTGCCAATATTCATACATACAAAATACAACTTAGGTGTCGAGTTAATTAAAGCATCAGTAGCTGATAGCCTACCATGTAAGATCAATATATACCATTCCTAATGCTGTTTATCCTGGGTTTTTTTTATAATCTTTCATGCAATGATGCAACTAGGCTCTTAAAAAAGACTTTCTAAATCAGAGGTTCCCAAACTTGGCAACTTTAAGACTTGTGGACTTCAACCCCAAGAATTCCTCAGCCAGCCAAGCTGAAGTCCACAAGTCTTAAAGTTGCCAATGGTGGAGACCTCTGTTCTAAATTAAGAAAATTATTAGTTACTAATTAATTACTAAGACTTTTATGCCACTTCATTCCAGGATGAACTGGCTTCTTGTCTACCTAAAACCGCCATTCTGGCGATATTTCGTTCTATTCAGGTCATTTTAGCCATAATAAACAAATGACTTAAAACCAAAACACGGTGGTCTTGGAAATCGATTGCTTTTTCAAGTTTCGGCACATTTGCCGGGACATTATGAAACTTCTTACCAGCTACAAGATAGGTTTCCAGTGGCTCTTTGCAATTTCTTAGGAAAGAACCAAAGTTTGCTTTAATCCATTATTTTCAAAAGCCGAGCGTCCTTGCAATGCCCGAGACAGTTCAAATAGGGATACGTACCCCCCACCCTGCCATTTCAGGAGAGCATTCCTGTTATTTTAATTTGCGAGTTTGCAGTCCAAACCCCATAATCCCCACTTCCTCAGCCAGTCTGCATTTGAAAGAATTCAACATGGCCAGGTCTACGATGTACAAGTTGGCAAATTTAAGAACTATCTAGACATAATATAATTTATTAATCTAATTTACAAGCCCACATCTTCAAGCTGGGGGGGGGGAGATGGAATTTTGGATCAAATAACAAGTAAAAACAGCAATAATTCATTCAGCGCTCACTAAGGATCAAGCATGTTAGCATTAATGGCTCTTCAAAGCCCAAAAAGCAGATGTTTTTCCTATAATGGAGTTGCCAACTGAGACAAGCCTCATGCAACTGCATATTAAAAAGCAACATAAAAATGTATGTACGTGGTTAGAAGCAAATAAAAGCCCTCTTTCACTGGGTGCTTTGAAATAAAGATGCCCTATTGCCTGCTAAACTACCACTCATTAATTTCAATTGTGAATCAACTTGACACCGTTGTACATTACTGTATCAGAACTTTGAGGTTTTGAGTTGACATTTCTAGATTTTATCAGTTATTAGAGATATGTAAGTTATATTCTAATGTACTTAGGACCCCGTGAAGGGGTGTTATTCCTTCAAGTGTTAATAGAGTGGTCAGATCAGTAGCGTTTGGGATAGGAAGGTTTTGATGATGCAAGTTTCAGGATCAACAGTTAAAATATTCATAATGTTTACCTTTGACATCAGAGGTTTATCTTCCACTGCTCACACTTCTGTCTTCATAAATGGTAATTTCAACCTGTACAGCAGATCTGTTAAGAAAATATTCTGCGGGGGCAAGTCACAGAGATAAAAAACGGGGGAGATAACAGAGTTTACTCTAGGTTTTCAACTTTACGTGCTTCAAAAGTGTTGGACTTCTAACTTCCAGAGTCGACGCAGGGACCAGGGATTCTGGAAGCTAAAGTTCAATTCTAGGGATGTGACCAGTGGTGAGAGATTTCTTACAGCAGACATTTCCTTAGCAGCTGATTGTAAGGCAACCATCTGGAGCCCTGAAAATAATGAAGCCGGGACACATCTAGCTTGTATTCTTCACAAGCAGAAAAACCTAGAAAACTCTACGCTGCATTTCATCACGTGCAAGTTCTCTTTCTGATGACAAAATTGCTCCAAGAATTTTGCTCCACCCTCCCCTGCAGCAGTCTCGAATATTCAGAGACACGGAAGGCCATTTCTTCTAAAAGTCCATAGGCTAACCCATGGGTAGGCAACCTTGGCTCTTTTAGGACTCGTGGATTTCAACTCCCTGAATTCCTGAGCCAGCCATGCTGAGGAGAAAGGGAGAGGTTTCCAAGCTGAGCCATGCTGGCTCAGGAATTCTGGGGGTTGAAGTCCACAAGTCCTAAAAGAGCCAAGGTTGCCTACCCCTGGGCTAACCAGAATCCAATCACCGCACCTTAAATGACAGACCCATTATTTGGGGTTTAAGACATAAAGGTCCGTCTGCTATAGAATTAAGGAGCAGAACTGAGATAAATAAAAGCAACCTTCAGCGCGTAAGTCCTGGAATACGAAAGCCATCAATGGTTTCACCCTGCTCCATCATTTCTTTTTAAAGAGCCACAGTGTGGTTTTTTGGGGGTACAAAAGGGATGGACAAAGAGAGACAATCCACGAGCTGGCAAAAGTTTAGGAACCCACAGAAAAAAAAGATACAACTCTTAGTCCCCTCTCAATGGGGTCAGTCAAGAGGAGGCCTTGTGGAGCATAGATCTTCTCGTTCTGCTCCTGAATGTACTTGGCAATTTTCTTGAGAACCTGGAATAAAAAGACAGAGGCTCGTTTCAATTCCTGTTGTTACAAACTCTTGGTAATACTTTTAAACGATAAAGGCCTGACGACAAGGGAGATTCGTGTTCAAGCCAATCGTTCTCTCTTAGCCCAACTGAACCTCACAGAATTGTTATTATTGTTATGGGAGCTCTGTTTTGTGATTCAATATAAACACATACCAAATAAAAATTCTAATCCTCGACTCACCAGATGGTCATTTATGAGCAAAAGCATATCATTTAATATCCTTCTCATGGAATAAGAAAGCAATTGCTTTCTTATCACAGGACAAGCTCGTGTTTTATCCAGCCAGCCAACCAACCAACTAACCACTCATGATTTAATGAACTGACACAACTGTCTGAGTTTGCATAAGACTGAGCCATAAACTCAATGCACTGGTTGTGTTCACACTGAAGCACAAACTGGAGTACACCACACATTAGCTCAAAATATTGTGCACATGTTGTGCACATTCAACCCAAGTATAAAGTAGCTCAGAACACCAGTACTACACCCAACAACAGTTTATAGCCACTAAAAAAACATTAGTCTTCTACCATCAAGGTCAACTCATGGTGACTTCATCTTTGAAAAAAACCCTACAATTTTCCTAATAGTAAACCACTTGCCACTACACACCCCAGTAGTCTCCCATCCAAGTATTAACTGGGCTTGACTTTGTTTAGCTTCCTAACGCACAGAATACCTGCAAGCTATTCCCATAACTGCTCTGATCTCTCCCTGCAACAAGGATGTTGTGCGTAAACAACTGGGCACGCAGATAAAAATATTCTTCTCTTCAGACAGCTCCCAGCAACTACTACAGCAGATATATCCTTGATACCAACCTCAGTGGAAAATTTAAAAGCTGTTTTACACAGGAATGTAGGTTGCCTGGATCGCAACGGACTATCCACAACATGGACCACTTAAACTATTTGTAAAAGGTTCTATTCATTCTAGAGATTAGCCTTAGACAGAAATGTGGTGCCTGGAAAGTATTTTGCCCCAAGTTCAGAAAAGGCCGATTTTGAAAGCCAACTTGGCTGGAACTAAATGTGTTCAGTGTCCATTTTCAAAAAGAGAATACCGCAAAAGCAATCTCGGTAGAGAGTGCTCAAGAGTAGCCACAGACTGGCACAAAATCCCAATGATATAAAATCAGGAGCGGAAGCAATTAGCAGGAAACCGACTCTCCCTGGCAGAGCCAGCGAACCATGTCATGCTGACTTCTGAGAAAATACGACTTTTTAAACAATTTTCTGAAGAGCATTATCTGGCCAAAACCAGGGCTTTTGATGCCAGGAAAGTGGTGGATGGAAAAAAATTCCATTCATTTTTTTTTTCCCGGGAAGGCCACCCTGAAATGTGATCAGTGGTAGGAAAGCCAACTAGCTGGTAGAGGCAATAGGAGTGTGAAATGGAAGCACAGAGAGGAGACTTATTTTCCGTGGCTGAATTTATGGCAATAAACCCTAAGGGAAATTGGAGGAGGAGACCTTGCTTGAGGCACCTAAAGGCAGCTTTCATGGCTCCATACTGTTCTCAAAAGGATCCTGTGTAGGATGCAGGCATGAAATATAAGGCAAGGCTATTACAGGACAAGGGGGAAGATGAAAATCTGGGGAAAGATCAGATACCTAGGGGGAGACAGGTTCAAATCCCACTCAACCATGGAATTCATTGGGTGATTTTAAACCAGAGTTGCTTCTCTCCATTCTACCTATTTCATAAGGCTGTTAGAAGTATAAAAAGAAAGCTCCCCAGGTATTCGGCTATGAGTTCTTTAAAGGAAAGCAAGACACACCTTTAACAAACAAAGACGATGTGGAAAAGGAGTTGGAAGAGCCAACTGTCAGTGCTTTAAAAACAACCTTTCCCCAATTTATTGAAGTCCAACTCCAAAGAGAGAACCAACCTAGAACCCCGGAGAAATTTCCTGACAGTGAGAACAATTAATCAGTGGAATGCTGTTGCCTTCAGAAGTTGTGGGTGCTCCATTCTGCTATATTAACCTTCTTTTGAATCACTCACAACTGGCTGAAAACAGTGTATGAAGCCGTAAAGCATGATTTATAAACTAGAACGATTAGGTTCACACAATACGCTAAGTCTGGGTCAAATAAACGACAACATTGCTTAGCAAACGGCAGGAATCAGATTTCACTGTGATCTCACCTGGCCCCGCCCCTGTTTACATATTCCATTTGCCTACCACTTTTATACAGTAATTGTGTTTTTGTTAGCTTTTATAATTTCATTACCTTCCAAGGTTTTTATGTTCTCGTAGTATAAACTACAAGAAGTCTCTCTCTCTCTCTCTCTTTAATGTTGTGGCATGTAAGCACAAGAATTAAACAAATAACACCCCCCTCTCAAAGTCTGGAAGGCAAAAAACACACATAATGGAACATTTCCCTATCTAAAGAGAACAAAATGGACAGAAAGCACCTGTGCTAATCTAGCCTTCCTCTTGATGCAGTTAATTTTTGACGTATTCAGACACTTTGTTTTATACCCAAATAGTCTAATCAGGTGATACAGCTCTATCACAGGGGAGCAGATGCAGGAGAGGGAGTCCTAATACTTAGCAACATTAGGCTAAATGCATCTCCTGTAACCGCTGTCAGAAAGCCAGAATGGAAAATTACATTCTTGAACGTAGAATGGAAGCGGTAAATCACATCCCGTTTGGGTTTTAATAAGTGAGGTTTAACATGCCTCAAAGATGCCTTTCCGATATTTTATTGCAGGAGATTAAATGCTATTCCTTCTGTGGAGTTTTTTTTTTTTTCCTTCTGCCATCAAACCTCCAGTGTGTATATATGGCCCTTTTTTTTTTCTATTAGGGAAAGTAAGTCAGCTGACCTTCTCATAATGGGTCTCCATGCACAGAAATATAGTGTAGGCAGTCAAGCAAGCCAAGCACCCTTCCAGATAGGACTGGCTCCCAAGTTTCTCCGCTTCGGCGTAAAGATTATTCAGGGTCCGCACAGTTTCTTCAAATTGCTGCCTGTCAATCTGAACAAAGGATCTCATTTAGAAACAGACATTCGGGCAGGTACAAAAATGTAGCTTCTTTGAACGGAAACGACCTATTTAGATGAAAACCATATGGACTTCAATGGCTCAGATCCCCAGGAAATAGGACTTGACTTCTTGGATGAAGAGTTCCACGTCAAGAGCCTCGTCTGCAGAACTGAGACTCAGGAAACAATTACAAGTTTTAAAAGAGTCGCAGAAAGAATGCAACTTTCTTCAGAAGAGCCTTTCAAGATATTCTTCAAAGCTGTTCCTGGCATAACTCAACTCACAGAAGAAAGCAGTCAGCTGCTACCATGAAAACAGTCTGTTTTTCCTTGCTGGAGCTGCTGATCAAAAGATCACAAGGATAAATATTGTTTGCTTTTGCTTTCAACACCGATATAGCCACCCAGCAGAAGTAGCCAGTAAATTAGAGCATTTGAGAACAAAAATACCAGAAAATTCTCAATAGCGGAGAGAAGCTTGGCCGACATAGTAAGAACAATAATTCTGGAACATAGCAATGACTTGTTCATTATTCTCAAACCATTAAAGATGACATTTATGTTTTTTTTTCTCCATTTCTTTCACTTAGAAACTGAGAGGTGCTACAATCCTAGAATATTCATTTTATTTCTTTATTAATTCAATTTTTTTTATTCTGCCTCTATTACCGATTAGGAGGCTCGTTCAATGCAGTAAAGTTTACTTCTTAGCAAATATACAGACAATCTGGCTGTCAGATTCCTAATTACTTAGAACATCACAAATTTTGACTTTCTTCCAGAGATCTTAAGACATTGTAAATGCTGTCCCCAAAGTACAAGTACTCAAACCCAGAGGTCCTTAATTAGATTAGTTAAACGTGGTCTTAGCAGCTCCACATTCACACGTATTATATTTGGTTGTGGCTTTGTGTGCCTGGCTGAGGAATTCTGGGAGTTGAAGTCCACAAGTCTTAAAGTGGCTAAGTTTGAAGACCCCTGACTTAACCCCAAGAATGAAGCCCAATGGAGAGAGGCTGAGACAGGAAGCCCTGCTATTGCTTTAGTCACCAGTGTAATAAAGGGATTCCCACAGACAAATCTGACTCCTGTGTGGTTCTTTAATTGCTTGCGCTCCGCAGCCAGGACAAACTTGTTTGGCATACTTCCTAACAGGAAGTAGCCGACATCAAAGGCAGCAGGAATACAGCTCTTGAGGTTTCATATCCAAAGCTTATGTCGGTCCTACAAACCTAAATCCAATCAAACGAGAAACCAAAAGAATTCAATCAATAGGACTGAAATACTCGCCTGTTGTAGAAGAGAAATAATAGAAGGGGCTCTGAAATGTTTGGGTGGTTTTTAGAACAGCTCTTTCAAAATCTGTACAGTAATAGGTTTTCAGTTCAAACAACAACACTGGACTCTAATTTGTTGCTCTGTCTAGGAGTAGATCTCCCATACTCCATCTCTGCACTGGAAAATATGGCTTTTCCTGCATCTCTGTCACTATTCATTTTAGCTTAGTTATAAATATAATTTACAATCCTGGGTGTTAAAGTAAAATTTAAAAAAAAACCAAAGACAGAATGGTAAAACAGCTCAAGACAACCGATGCAGTGTGAAATCCAGAAGAAATACAATTTTGTAGTGAAAACTGTATAGGAGGAAAGTCCCGTTAATCTACAATAGCCCCAAACCAGGAGATTGGTAGGACCTTCTCCAACCAGCTAATTCTATTAAAAGACATAAATTGCAGCCTTTTAATAAACTTGCTAGTCAGAAAAGTTTCTACCAGATTCCTTTTGATTGTATGCAGTGCAATGTTAACGACACAAAATGGCAATTTTAACTTAAGGGAAAACCTATCCTTTCCTCTGGGATTTTCAAAAAGTACTTTCGTTGCTTTCAAGGAGCTGAAAAATGTTTTCACACTGAGTGATTTTAGTTGTATAGGACAGGTAATAATTACTGCTCTCTCTCTCTCTCTCTCTCTCTCTCTCTCGTTAGCCTTTGTTTATAAAAGGGACAGCAGCTTTTTAAAGAGGCAACTGGACTTTCTTGTTTTTCTTTGAAGACGTTTCATCCAAGAAGCTTCTTCAGAAGAAAAAGAAGTTGCCTCTTGAAAAAGCACCTGGACGACTGAGAATCTCCATAGAAATTCAGCTGAGGTACAGAACCAAGCAAGCCACTATGAAAAGTGGGCAATTGCCCTACACCCCCAGGTACAGTGCATTATATGGATCCAGCCAGCTTTGGTTGCTAAGCACATTATAGTTTAACGCTAGTGACTACTCACCCGGTTTTCCAACTCTGGGGGGAACTTGGTCTGGAACTGGCACCTCGTGCCACTGCTGTAGTCCCTTTGGATGAAGACTTTGCTGGCAACAGGCGGCTGCTGTGGCCTCATCTCGCAGCTCAAACTGGCCAGTCTGGATGTGAAAGGAGAGATAAGCTATCAAATTGTGTCCCACTGGCCACTCCAGTTTTATATCACGTGTGCTGGTTGCATTGGAACATGTGCCTGGCTGATCAGCTCCCTGGCTTTTACACACTGGGCACCTATTATAATCAATTAAATAACCCTATATATTTGGCATGCATACTGAAGGCATTATTCCCTCTACTTAAAAAGGAGGAGTATTTAATATGTATAATAGTTGTTATGAGATACAAGCATTCACAACAAGCGATCTTCAGCGTCCTGCTTTTGTAATCTTGACTGTTCTCCAAGGTAGCTCTTTGAAACATGGAACACACTCATGATTCAGCTCCTCCTGCAAACTCAGGAACCCCACTGTTGTTGTTGTTGTTTTTAAAAAGGCCAATGAGGAGAGAGACTGAAAAGCCTGGGAATATTTAGCCTTGAGAAGACAAGGCTAATAATATAAGGCAGCTGTTTCCAAATGTGTGAAAAGAAGGAATCTTGTTTCCCTCCATCCCAGAAGACCAGAGCATGGACCAATAATGGACCAAGTTAGAGCAGTGTTTCTCAACCTTGACCATTTTAAGGCACGTGGACTTCAACTCCCAGAATTCCACAGCCAGCATTGCTGGCTGTGGAATTCTGGGAGTTGAAGTCCACATGCCTTAAAATGGTCAAGGTTGAGAAACACTGAGTTAGAGAGAGGAAGGCAGACTCCAACCTTTTGAATGGCAAAAAATTCAGCAGTGAAAGCAATAATGGCCTATGGAGCTGTGCCCATTTTGAACAGATTCAGCGCCTTCCAAGGCTCCCCCCCCCCNCAGGCCCGGGCCCGCCCCTCCTCCCAACGGCCGCCCCCCCCCCCGCCTTACGGGCAGAGCCCCTCCGCCGCGGCCGCTTCTGCCTCCGCTTCCAGCGTCGGTCGGTCCGCCGGCGACGCAAGCTCCCTCACTTACGGCTGTCGCAAAACCGCCCTCTGCTCGAAGTTTAGGGGGGGCGGGAGCTCTACGGCTGTGGGCGTGGCCGCGCCGTAGATGTAGAAATATGGAGAGTAGAGTGCTTCTCGTCCTCGGGACGGGTCGCTTCCGGGTTTCCTTCGGAGAGAAGGCTTCGTAAGGCAGGCCTGAGAGACCTTGGCTGCTTTTTACGGCTTGCTTTGGACCTCAAGTCCTCTGATCAAGTTGTCCTAGTGCAGGGATGGGGAACCTTGGCTCTTTTATGACTGGTGGACTTCAGCTCCCAGAATTCCTGAGTCAGCATGGCTCAGCTTGGAAATCTCTCTCTTTCCCCTCAGCATGGCTGGCTCAGGAATTCTGGGAGTTGAAGTCCACCAGTCATAAAAGAGCCAAGGTTCCCCACCCCTGGGCTAGGCCTAGGCCACTTTATGACTGGTGGACTTCAACTCCCAGAATTCCTGAGCCGGCATGGCTCAGCATGGAAACCTCTCCCTTTCCCCTCAGGAATTCTGGGAGTTGAAGTCTACGAGTCATAAAAGAGCCAAGGTTACCTACCCCTGCCCAAATGCCTGAATTTTGATCACATGACCGTGAGGAAAAATATTTAAATATTTAAACCAGGGGCCTTCAAACTTGGCCCCTTCATGACTCATGGACTTCAACTCCCAGAATTCCTGAGCCAGCATGAGGGAAACTTTGGTCCCTTCATGACTGGTGGACTTCAACTCCCAGAATTCCTGAGCCAGCATGGCTCAGCTTGGAAACCTCTCCCTTTCCCCTCAGCATGGCTGGCTCAGGAATTCTGGGAGTTGAAGTCCACCAGTCATAAAAGAGCCCAGGTTGCCTACCCCTGATCTAGTGACATTTGGGGGATGGAGGCTGGGAGGAGAGAAGCTGCCGAGCGAGGCTTTCGTTGGGTGAAAGCAAAGCACCAGAGGGCAGGACGAGAAGCAATGGCTGGAAACTGATCAAGGAGAGAAGCAACCTGGAATTAAGAAGAAACTTCCTGACAAGTGAGGACAATTAACCAGTGGAACAGCTTTGCCTCCAGAACTTGTGGGTGCTTCATCACTCAAGGTTTCTAAGAAGAGACTCACTGGACAGTCACTTGGCTGAGATGGTATAGGTTCTCCTGCTTGGGCAGGGGGCTGGACTAGATGACCTCCAAGGTCCCTTCCAGCTCTATTCTGTTCTAACAGTGAGGATAATGAACCAGTGGAACAGCTTGCCTCCAGAAATCGTGGGCGCTCCATCCCTGGAGGTTTTTAAGAAGAGACTGGACAATCACTTGGCTGAGATGGTATAGGTTCTCCTGCTTGAGCAGGGGGCTGGACTAGAAGACCTCTAAGGTCCCTTCCAGTTCAAGCTCTATTCTATGCTATGCTATGCTATGCTATGCTATTTCCTATTCTATTCTATTCTATTCTATTCCACTTGGCTGCATGTTCTGACCCCGACCCCGACCTCCATTTGGAACAGCTGCAGCTTTGCATGGGCTGGGGCCAGATTTTTGAAGGAGGGGGTTTTTTTCTCTTGTGTTTTCTCTGAAGGAGCAAATGTATTTATTGCTAAGAATTGGAAGCTTTGAAACCACCGTGTCCCAAAGGCCGCTGCGCCCGGGATCCAACAGATGTTCTACCGTAGGCAACTGTTTTGCCAGTCGGAATCGGCTTGTGCTTTTGCAATCAAATCCCCTTCATGTGCGTTGCTGTGAAAATTACATACATATTATAAATAGCTGAGTTATGAATCAGGTTGGGTGATTTGCAGGCTCAGCTGCTCCGTGTCTGGCAAGAAGGATTAGCCTCTGGAATAGGACTCGGCTGAGGACGAAGTGACAGGAATGGAGGGTTGTGTTTTCAGTATTACAACGAGGAGCTATTCCTTAAAATATAGGATGGCAGACCCACAATCCCAGAAGCCAGAGCCACTTTTAGGGAGCAGTGGAGACACTTCTGTAGTGCTACACATGGTCCCCATCAACAAATTTGGAAATTATTAGATTGGCTGATACATTTCACTTATTAGTATGTGTTAAATTGAGGCTGGAAATCCCATCTGATGGGTGGGATTCAGCTCCTAGAATTCCTTGGCCATAATGGCCATTGCTATAAAATCTGGGAGCTGACATCCACAGGCCTGGAGAGTACCAAAGTTGGGACAACTTGATCTGATCAATTAAAATCTAATCCCTAGTTCAGGGGGCTTCAAACCTGGCCCTTTTATGACTTGTGGGCTTCAATTCCCAGAATTCCTCAGCCAGGCAAGAGGAATTCTGGGAGTTGAAGTCCACAAGTCATAAAAGGGCCAAGTTTGAAGATTGCCCTAGTTGTTTTCCAGTATGTTAGGTTTCTGCCTTGGATGAACGATTCCAGAGAAGGAAGAAATTACTTTGAAAACAACAATTTAGATTCAAGAGCGTTGGGTGAATCAAGTCATCTTCTTCTCTCCCAATGCTTCCTGACAAAAATATCTAAGAAAATCCATTAATCCTCTTGGAACAGGCTGAAAAAGAATTATGACTCCACATGACCTCTGGGTGTCGCTCTTTTCCAATCATGGGTGCCTTCTGCCTAGTTCTTTGCAATCAAATCTTTTCAGAAATTGTGTTTTTAAAGTCTTCCTAAAATACTTAACATTTTTTTTTTACGCGACTTCCCTGGCTTTGCGACATTGAATGCAATTCTCATCTTGCATTGTTTACACAATTGTCCTCTGGATGCCAGAATCCTGCTCCCAGAAACGTATAGACATAACTTGCATAACTGTTATTGTTGCAATTTGTGGCCATTGTCAGTTATAAACTACAGTATAGCCTGTTTTTTTCTTTTACCAAGGCAGGAAATTGTTCTCTATCATTTCAGATAAATTCTAAGTCTATACTGTGCTATGGTCTGTTTTAACTAGACGTGCCATAACCGACTGCCAGAATTTATACGGCCACTAAGGGGAGCAATGAGTGTTTTCTATCTTGTTTTGATGATCAATTTAGATTCCCCCCCCCAGCTAAATTACCTTGGTTTTAAGCCAGTGGTTCTCAACCTTTTTAATGCCGCGACCCCAACCGGTCGTAAGTCGAGGACTAAACCGGTCGTAAGTCGAGGACTAAACCGGTCGTAAGTCGAGGACTACCCAACCGGTCGTGAGTCAAGAACTTTCCCTGCTCAGGATCGCTGCACATGCGTGGTTCTGCCCCCTGCACCGGCCGAGGCGTAGCCGGCAAGCGGCAGAGACGGAGCAGGATGACCAGCTGGCCCAGCCCAAGGGAGGTAAGGCACCCGCTGGAAAAGGGAAAAAAAAATGGCGGACAAAAAAATGGCGGACAGCCTTGCTTGGCAACCCCCATGAAATGGTCGATCGACCCCAAATGGGGTCCCGACCCACAGGTTGAGAACCACTGTTTTAAGCACATTTTGGCTAACAATTTATAGTGGTCCCCTGACATGACACACTATGCCATGGCTTAGTAACCCACATTGCTAACTTGGTAGGAGCTGTGATGTTTAATGTTTTAAATATTTAATATTTGAAGAGTGTTAATTCAGTTTTAAAGGAAATAACGTTTTTACATTTCTGAGTATTGGAGCGTGGTCCTTATTGTGTTTTCTTTGTGATGCCTCTCAATGACTTAGTGTCCTTTATCCTAAAAGACAGGATGCACTTTTTCCATAGATAGTAGTTGATTTGCACCTTTTTCCTTAAAGAAAAGTCTTGTTTTTTTACACTTTCCACTCAAAAATGGAAGGCAACCAACTGCTTCTCCTAGTGCAGGGGTCTTCAAACTTGGCCCTTTTATGACTTGTGGACTTCAGCTCCCAGAATTCCTCAGCCAGGCACGCGTGGGGTGAGTCTACCATTAATCTTTCACTGTGTTGGTCCAAACAAGATATCTGCTTTAATCCTGTTCTTCTCAAACAGATAAACTCCAAAGAACGGGATAATATTCAGATTATTTTATTCCTCAGGGATCTCAAACAATAACTTACAGTCAAGAAGAGTTCTTCTGATGAACATATCATGACCTTCTCCATCCTTTTGGGTGAAAAATTAATGGTAGACTCACCCCATGGCTCTTATAATAATAATAATAATAATAATAAATTTAATTTATATGCCGCCCTTCTCCCAACGGGACTCAGGGCGGCGCACAACATATTTAAAACAAAACATAAATACATTCCCCCCCGATAAAACCGAATTAAATCAAATTTTAAAGTTGTGTCTCTGTCGAATTGTTAAAAGATAAACCCCAAATAAAATCCTCCCTAGGTCANATGGGAGCGACGAGTCCCTCCCAACACCGCCCGCGCGGCCGCATTCTGGACCATTTGAAGCCTCCGGGTGCTCCTTTGAGGGAGCCCCATGTAGAGAGCATTACAGTAGTCCAGGCGGGAGGTGACAAGAGCATGAGTGACTGTGCGTAAGGCGTCCCGGTCCAGAAAAGGCCGCAACTGGTAAATCAGGCGAACCTGAAGACAGTCACCTCGTGTCTGTCTTCACAAAGGCCTCTTTCAAGCTGGCACGTAGCCAGGATATCCTGTGATGAACTTAGTGGCCCTTCCCACTGACTTGTTAAACATAGGATTCACTGAACAGCTAAAACTACATTACCCATAAGCCATCTCTTAAGGAAACAGCGTCTAACCCTTTAAATGTCAAACATTCTAACATACAGATCTCAAGCTAATATATGCTCTGGCGAGGATAAGCTGGTCCAGCATACAGGGCTTGGGCTAAACTGAAATCTGGGTTTAATGACATTTACATAGAAACCTTTTAACAAAACAAAAAGAAGCGGAAAAGAGAAGGCTAAGGAAGATGGAGAAGGATCCTGCTTCTGTTCAATATAACCAGCATCAAAGGACGCATCATGTGTACCAACAGAGGTCCTATTGGTTGGAAACTGTGTGTGTAAAGCAGAAAAGGAAATGTGGGGTTGTTTTTTTTAATAAGAGAGAAGGTAAAGAGTAGACAAAGAACGAATCTG